ACTGGCGCGCGACTGAAAAATCCGCCTGGTCCTGGTATCGAACCAGGAAATTTTCTCTTTCCAGTGGAGCGCTCTATCGACTAAGCTAACCAGGAGCTAGACGTCGGCAGAGCGAACCGGTTTTATCAGCTGCCAGAACGGCCTGCATTTTGAGGTTATGATGATACTGCAAATTGGTGCCAAGGGGCAAGCAATCTGGGCAAAAATAGCGACACTAATTGCTGGAGGAAATAAACAAAAGAGACGAATGTCAAACAGGAATCTGCAAACACAGCTAGGTGACTGGTTCGCGACCGAAAAGTTGGTAGAGCGCTCCACTGGAAATGGAGAGGTCCCTGGTTTGATACCAGGAGCAGATGGATTTCTTCGGTCGAGCCCCAGTGAGCTAGCCGTGTTAGAAGATTTGTGTTTGTCCTTCGTCCGCTTGTTCACATTCTCCGGGAATTATTATCGTCATTTTTATCCAACGTGCTTGCATGTTTGCATTAATTTGCATTATCATCTTAGCGGCATGATGTCCTGTGAACAAGCGAAAAAATATTATCTCCCAGGAAAATATAATTTTCCTGAGACCTGATCGCTTTCAACATCTGCTTTGAAAACCCATTTGTTGAAAACAATGCTGCCACCCACTGACCAGGCAACCATGCCAGAATGCTTTGATTGAAATGTTGGCGGCCCAACATTTTCCGCAGAATGATGAACTAGTAGCCGCTCATACCGGAAAGGAACTTGCCATGCTCTACTGATTGTGACCGCTTTGAAATGCGTGTCCAGTCAACCGCGCAAATGACACCTTGTAATGTCTTGATTGTGTGATTGCGGAGAAGGCGCCGTGTAACCGAGCTTTCGGTTGCACGTCAAAAGATCCCCAGGTGGTCCAAATTAATCCTCAGTCCTCCGCTGGGGCGTGCCAGATGCCCGTCGTAGGTTTGGCACGTAAAACCCCCAAATTTGACTTTGATTGTGTCAATCCTTTTGATAATAGAACTAAGTAGTGTGTGTTTTAGTCATGGGAAAAGAAAGAAACTACCCATATCCCAAAACGATACCACGTGTTGATCCCTTGACGTTCGCACACTGTCAATTTAACACTCAGATGTCCCCCATAACTGTTTGTTTGATTATTTCTAATAGAGAACAACCTGTAGCTCGTTCGCGAGTGATAACAGGAAGATTTAAGTTTCCTAACCGTATTTTTGTTGTCTATCTGGTTGAACAAATAGACGGCTTCGGGCTTTGAAGTGCATAAACTCCCACTAGTTCATCGCATTGTGTCAACGAGAAAGGTCGTTTCTTCGCACCACCCGCCGTAGCCTGCAGTGATGCAATGCTGAACGGATCTCGCATCGTAGTTGCTATGATTTGTCGTCGCAACCAAGGAAAGGTATAAAGCCCAATATCTCTTGAAGGTGAGATCCACCAGAAAAGTTACGATTGTATAACGACACAATTTTTCGAAGCCATTATTGTATTCGTGAGACACTTAAACTTCGCTGAAGGTTGTCCCGAAACTCTAAGAAGGAAAGACATGACATTTTTTTACGGTATTATTTTTCAAACGAGTCCTTCACTGTAACCTGATATGAACGTCAGGTGGGTTCCAAATGAGCTGATTGTCCAGATCATACATTGCTGCTATTCAGAGGATCGATCGGAATGAAGGAAAGAGGAAATAAACCAGGTTGTAGGTAGCGAAATGTTACTGATATGCGGAAATAAATAAACACTATTACTAGCGTTGAAAGAAAACCCAACGGGAAGGCTGACGTGAGCCGTACAGTTGTGTTCCTTCTCCGGTCAGGGCCACAGCACACAGAGTAGAGAGCTACTTTGAAAACAGAGGTTGATAAACACTTCACATTACAATCTATTGTAACCTTGTCACTATCAACGGTCATTTTGTCGAGACGTTAAGCTGTTGTTGCCTTTATGCTCTTTTTCCAACAAGATCTGTTCACCATGTAGGCGGCAGCAGGTCCGTCACGATGTTTCAAATCCTTTGTTAAAAACACGAAAAGCTAAACGCCTAATTTAGACATTGATTTTAGGTGTGGCTTAGAACCAGGTGTAGCCATAAGCGACTTTGGTGCAGGAGAACGAAAAAAAAAACTCAGCTTTGGTTTCGGGCTAAGCTCCGATTTGTGCTAAGCGGTGTTGGTGCAACCGGCCCTAAAATATGTTACTGATTCCTTCATCCCCTCGCGCAACTGTCATGGTGCCACTTTGCAACCTGAATCTAACATATCCTACTTAGATTTGTAGAAGTGAATCGAGAGTGGCGTATTTGATTAGCTTGACCCATCTAGCGAACTATAGATCACGCAGTCACTGCAGTCTACAGAGTATGGTGATTAAACGTACGCAACGGGATGGCTTTCCTCGCAAGATCGATCTCGCGCAAAAACACAGACTGCGCCATGACCGTCATTGCAGCGTCTCTCTTTTCCAGTCTCTAGGCGCAGCATTTATTTCTTAAGTTTGGAGCTTTATATTATACCACGTCTGAGTAGATTACAGGAATGAGCTCTTGGTGTTGTGTGTGATAATAATGACGAGCGGTGATTGTGGTAAATTTTCCCTATTCCTCGTCTGCCCTGAGCTTGTTCGCGAAAGCAGAGGCAGGGCCTTCCGTATTTCGAATAAAGAAATCGAAGAAAAAGGCCCTGACTTCGCTCAAAGTAATGTTATGTGTAGGTTTATACAACCAGACGCCGGTAAGCTTCAGTGGGCGTTTGATGTCTCAGCTGTAGATGAGAAATATAACCAGCGAAGTCCTTCACGTGCGCCACGCAGTAGTGGTTCACGACCGCATGCCGGTACGATTCTCCTCCAGATCGAAAAGGGCAGGCAGGGGTGGGGATTGAACCCAGAATCCTTGGATTCTGCAGTGCGAGCTTTCACTGCACATTCTCTGAGTTGGCGTACGCTAGCCTACTCGGCCTCTGATCCCCCTTACTCGTTCAAAGAAAAAAAAAGAAAAAGTTTGGAAATGGAACTTTTTAAACTTTTTACTTACTCGAGCACGGGGACTCTGGCTATCAGACAAGCGTAGTAGCCAAACGTAGACACGAGTGCCCAGAAGCAATCGAGCCAGACGACACGGCAGATCGCGGCTAGAAGGTCACGCTTCTGCACACAACTCCTGCAAAGTTTTACACAAATTAAAAAAAAAAAAGCCTGCACTTACTTTCTTGTGAGTTTAAATGGCTTACGATTTCTTTGCTGATTGCTAATGACACCTCATAATCACAGACATAATAGGATTATTTGCGCAAGTCATTACCAACTTTTTCGTCCGCACCCGGCCCATAGTCCGCACACGAAACAATTCTCCTACACAAAGGGATTTGAAAATACTTCTTTATTAAAGCACAGTAAAAGCTTGTATAATACAGAAGTCATCATTATTATAACTTATTATTCACAAAATTCAGGACGTATCGTCACAGTGGCCATATTTGAAAAACAAATCCTAGTTTAGTCCGCACCTGTCCGCATTGCGTAAAATTTTAATTTTTGAACATGTGTTGTCCGCTAACTATAGTTCAAGAAATGCGTTGAGGTATTACCTATCGAGAACGCCGAAGAACAAATCACTAAGAAGTTGTCGCAGAGATGATAAGTCGCACCTTGTGCTTCTTAGGCCGTAAGTAACTCCACTAATCTCACAATAAAACACCGGCGAATTGGATTTTAGAATCGCCATACATATGAACACTCTACCAAGACCCTCAGCACCCTAAAGCATGTTCCTCGTTGTCACGAATAGCTTACTCGATGATAGTGTTGTTAAAGTTTCTTATTTTTTTGTTACTTGAAGGCTAATGCAATCGCAGGGTCACACAATCGAGACTAATTGCGGAGCGAGCAGTTGAGTCAGAATAAACGTACTCTTCTTTGTAAACGCCCAATGACACAGAAATGGGGTTTCTCGGTAATACTGCCGCGTACGTTGTCCAGTAGACAGCGCACTTGACTATCACGCGGACATTCGAAGTTCGACTCCTGCCAAGGGTTATTGCTTTTATCTTTCGTGGATCCTCTAGCATGTTCTTGCAGAGTTGATCTGATGTTGATAGCACTCGTACAAAAAAAATCTATATTCAGTTCATCACAAAGCTGAGACTGCGGTAGAAGGTACGTCCTCGTTGGACGAGTCATACGTTTGTCTTTCGATAAGTGACCACGATCCCGCCCATATCTTCGCGCTGAAAGCCGGGTCGGGTGACAAAGGGGAGGCAGATGATTGGTCCGGTGACATTTCAGGTGTTAGTTGGTCTACTATTTTTCATCTGTGATAATTCAGTAAGTCATTGTAGTTTACTGTCGCGTAGGTTCTGGAGAACCATACGATTAGAGACAGGAAAAGAAAGGACGGGGGTTCAAGTTTTTTTGCGAATTGGGTTTTGTACTTTTCTGTTTAGACATCGCGCTTTCGACATTACGCAGAGTTCATTTGATCGCTCCTCCCGCCTGAGGAGGCTAAACTCCAAGGGGGCTATGTTGCGCTTTTTGCACTCCCAGGAGACTAGGGAGAAGGAAGTGACGTCAACAACGCAGCAAATGCAGATTGGATGTTGATTTTGTTTTCTTCTGTCGACATCCAATCTGCGTTTGCTCTAGTCGTTGACGTAGCTTCCTTCTTCCAAGTCTCCTGGGAGTGCAAAAAGCGCAACATAGCACCCCAGGACAGTCCAGCAATCTTACGTCAGAAATGGAAGGTATGACAGTTGTGTATTACAATACTATATAGGTTCTGAAAGAAGCCCCGACACTGCCACTTTTCATGTGCGTTAAACGTTTTTTATATGTCTTAAAATTTTAATTCTAGCCTGGTGGTGTTTTTGTTTTCAGGCTTCATTTGTTTGTGAGCCCACACTATGCATTTGCGCCATTGCGTTGCAGCCGACGGCCTAGAAACCATGAGAAGCTCTACGCATCGCCACCGTAAGTAAAACACACCTTGTAAGTTCCATGATATAAAGTAAATCAAAACGCATACTTTTTCTTTGTCAGGAGCGAATACAGGCGGTCGAGCATCAGGGAACAACGCAATCGTTCACTCAGTGTAGGTAAGTTGTCGTCTCCTGTCTCCGACGTCATCACCATCTTCTTCAAGTGCCTATAAAATACAATCAGACGAACCAAAATTTTTGCTTTTTATTATAGTTTTTCAGTGCGTATACGAACTAAACTTGCACACGACGAGCCCACTATGAAAAAACAAAACAAAAAAAAAAACAGTGAGATTACAGAAAATTTAATTAGTGTGAAGGTGAGCTATGGGACATTTAGCAAAACGATGTTAAGCTCGTTTGTCTAATACCCAAATAACACGGCAGCGCAAAGGTACCTTTAGCCCAGGTGCCTTTCGTAAAGGGGGCTGGAGATCGTGATCACACTGCGCATAAAGGTCCCTTTAGCTAAGGAAGGTCCTGTGTTAAACGGAGCTCGCCAAGCTCCCTTTACAGCTGCAGGGAGTAGCCTCGGACCCACGAACTCAAAATAAAAATCAGAGATACATAAATACATCTTGTTTAATGCATTATAACAACTTAAATATATATAAGTATCAAATTATGAAATGATTGTGAACACAAATGTGATAGAATAGTACATTAACGAGGAACGCATACTCTAGCTAGCAGGTAGCAGCGGTTGCACGTGGAAAACAATATGTCTGCTAAGAGCCCGAACCCGATGGACCACTGCGAGCTCTTTTTCGAGGTTGCAGACGAGTCGCCCGACTCTCCCGCCTAGGACCCTTTATCTTCGTCGTCGTCCATCCCTTTCGGTCGCGTGACTGGCGTAACCGTGAGACCCCGTCGTGGTTCGTTTCTGCCTGGCAGTATTTAGCTACTTCCGTGAGAACTTTGCAAGAAAATAGAGCTGCTAAACATAAAAAGGTCGCCCACCTCGCAATGCAAACTCGTAAACGCAGATGATTCAGGGCCAGTCTGGCCAGACGGGTCGGACAATTTAAAGCAAGACTCATTTAGGCGCTTCCTTAGTCTTAGAGAAAAAATGTAAAGTGCCGCAAGAGCAGACAGAAATAATATTTCGGTTTCAAATATCATATTTCACATACATTAAAAAAAAAAAAAAAACTGCACGTCAAACCGATTTCGAGGAATAATTGTTTATCACGTGCCCCTCTCTCGGTTTAGCAGGAATGCCATCGACATCAACTTAGAGTGCTCTGTTTATTTATCGTGTGATCAAGAACGCCGTTTACTACAGGTACCTTCAGCTAAGGGACCTAAGCTAAAGGTACCTTTACGCTGCCGTGTGAATTGGGTAGAATGCTTGGATTGGGGCTAGTTAATTTGTCATTCTGATGTATACTGCGCTGCAAAGTTACACTTAACACATAAGGACGTAAACTACGAGATGATATGAAAGACAGTAAAGAACACGACGTACTTGTGGATGCGCAGACTAACAACTGTTTATTTTTCGTTTCTTTTTCTTCATTCTTTATACCTTTCTTTTGAAGGATGAAGATTGCCTGATAATTTACGGAATTTAAACTTAATGTCTTTGCGGGCAATAGACCGATCTCACCAGCCAGTTTGACTACGCCACCGCTGCCGCAATGCATCGAGGGAGCTTTAGTCTTTCTGCACGTGCGACAACCTCGCTGGAGCTCTGCGCGTGTGAAGCATGAGGCGACACGAGCCATCTTGTGCACTGCTGCCTGCCTCCTGCGAACTAAAGCTATGGCGGCGTCACGCATGCACCTAACGCTTGGTGAGATCGGTCTATTGTAGACAAGGTGGGACTGAAGTTCGAATGACGCGTATATACCTGAGAAGTCGTGGAAAGGACTGGGACGATTAATGTCTTTTTTGCCATTTGTAGACAGTTGATGTTGGTGGTGTTTGTGTTCATTCTCTTGCCACCCTGCAGCTGTTGTTTGCCCTGTTGTCGTGCGGGATCCTTTTTAAGCAGTTCTATTTCTACTTGTTTTGTAAGCTATTGAGGGCTCACAATTACACACGTGCCATACCTTCCAGAAGCCACGTGAAAGGCTTCCATCATTTCGCGCTTGGTCCTGTCTTATGAAATATCTAAGATGGTGTTGGTTCCAAGGAGAGCTTCGCAGGTGCATCTTGCACAGTTGCTGCGAGGTTACCAGATGCCTGCAGCTGCCCGCAGGCGTATTTGTGCTCCCTCAGTCTCTCATTGATACATCTTGGCGTTTGTCCTGTGTATGATTTTCCACACGTTAGTGGTATCTTGTATACAACTCCTTCAGTGAAGTCAACGAACTTGTGTTTGTGTCTCACCTTACACGATGCTTGGCCTCTTGCGTTGTTTTCCGGTTCGTTCACCTTTTTGCATAAGCCTTTTAGTTTAAAAGGGGCAAATAAAGCCACTCTTACTTCATGCTTTTCTGCTATATTTTTCATCCTATGGGAAAAATTGTGGATATATGGCAGCACAACCACTGGTTTTTTGTCAGTAGTCTTCTCTTTGGTTTTACCTTTGCCTGTGAGTGTGCCCTATTGAAAAAGACCATTTACCGGAATTGCATTTCGAGTAAAAAATCAATTTTACTGGATTTTGAAACTTTTTTTCACTTCCAGTAAAGCCGCAATTCACCGGAACCTGTTGTGTTTTTATTTTTTTTTTTCCGGACGTCAACGGAAGAAGCCTGTGAACCTTGGGTGGTATATGTTTACCAGATGCTGGACGATTCGGTAACAATTAAAGTGGTTAGTTTATATAGACCTGAAGGTTCTATGCATTTATTTAAGAGGGTCGATACAAAGCAAAAGCCATCAGAGGAAGAGGAACAACCAAGTGCTTGTCGCAAAAAACATTTTTCAAGGTACTCACAATGCCGCTGGGTAAATTCCTAGATGTTCAGTAGTTCAACTTGTGGGATTTCCCTTGCTGCTACCCGTCTCGGAGAATGACACAGCACACCGGTTCAACAACACGTAAACATTTAATGACCGCTATCGCCTGCGCCGCGATCGCAACAGCCACCGCGCATCCGCTGCGACGGCCTTTTATCAGCGGCTGAGCGCCGCTCGCGTGGCCAGTTGCCCTTGGCCCCCTCGTTGTCAAGATGACCACTCATCATTGTCGGAGGGGCAGCCTGGGCCAACCACTTGGAATCGCCAGGTTGCCCACAAACTAATAAAACCGAGCAGGTGCACCCCACGGACACACACACATACTGTCAGTAGCACGTTTAGCGAAAACCACGAACGCGCGGAACGAACATCCGCCGCCGTTGAGAAATCACGGGCACAGTCACATTCACGATGTCGTCCCTGATGTCGTCGCCGCGGGTACACCAGGTGGACACATACACACTGTCACTAGCACGCTTAGCGAAAACCACGAACGCGCAAAACGAACATCCGCCACCGTTAAGAAACTTTGGCCACAGTCTTCTTCGCTCGCTGGAGGCTTCTGAAGCCGGACGGAGAAAGAGGCGTAAAACAGGTCACTAATAAAATTTTCTGTTCATCTGCACACCCAGCTGCTCTGGAAGATACAGGTCGCACACATGGAACGCGAAGCCGAGAGCGTTCGTTCCTGGCCGGCCGTTGCTCGTTGACGGACAAAGAATCCGGTTTTCTTCAAAAGAGTCAGCAAAACAAACCTCTCGCATTTTCCCCACGAACCCAATGCGAGGGAGAGAGGGTGCGTGGGGACTCGTCCCTGGTGCGTTCTGGGCACCATAATTACTAGGGGTGTCGCGAACCGGCCGCGGTTCGAGTTCGACCAGGTTCGACTTTTTCGAACTTTTAGTGGAAAGTTCGTCGAACCTTGTATTGAGGTTCGACTCGTGTGCGCATGCGCGACAGGCTGGCCAGTTGGCTTCGGATTGGATGGTAATGGCTAAGAGATGAATTAAGTGCAGCGCTGATCGGCTATTTCAGTCAATAAAGTACTAAAATTTAAGTTATTAACTTCTTCAGTGAATAGAATTAGTTTCTTTTAATTGCAGTTGTTCACACAATAAAATAGCCCTTTGCATAAAAAAAGAAATTCTGAAAACCTAGACATGCTTGTATCAAGGTCTGGCCACACTGTCCACAAAGTCGAACCGGTCGAATCTGGTGAAAAGTTCGAAGGTTCGTCGAACCGGTTCGACCCAGTCGAACCACGAAAGTTCGACCAAAAAATCTGGTCGACAAAAGTTCGCGACACCCCTAATAATTACACAACCAGTCCCGGCTCGTCTCGGCTTCTCCCTAACCTCGTGTCGGCTTCGAGTGAAGCTCGGTAAACAGGTAAGCGAGTCGCCCGTTTCGGGTAAGATTTCTAGCAAAACCGGGTCGTCTGGTAAACGAAAGTGGCTGCCGGTGACGTTCCAGCGAAATCTGGAAACCCGCTGCTGGTGACATTCCAGCGAAATCTGTGTGCCGGCAAATAATCTGGCAAAGACTGGTAAACTACGCTGGTTTAAGATGAAAACGGCTGAAACTGCCCACTTTTTGGATCGTCAAAACAGTTCGCTGCACGCACTGTTGCAGGATTGCAACGTCATCCCGAGCTAAAACTCCACTCACGAGAATGCCGCCCAAGTGGTCTCGTACCTGCTCTGGCCTAGACTTTTGCCTGTCACAAATGGCAAGTTGCCGGTGATCGCTGCCCATTTTTTTGGATCGCCAAAACAGTTCGCTGCACGCACTTCTTGCAGGATTGCAACGTCGTCTCGAGCTAAAACACGCACTCACGAGAATGCCGCTGCATTGGCGGCCGCCATTACAAACTCAGTTCCCCTGCTCGTCTTGGTTTCCTTGCCTACAGCCGTTCCCCTTGCGTCTGCTTTCAGTGAAGTTCGGTGTCCGGCAAACGAGAGTGGCTTCCGGTAGGATTACAGCGACGGGTAATCGAAAGTGGTTCTGGTAAAACTTTCAGCGAAAGTGGCTGCCGGTAATATTTCCACCGAAGACTGGTAAACTACGCTAGTGTCTGGTGAAAATGAGTGGAAATTAACCCGTTTCCACCGAATGTCACTGGAAGTTTTTGCCGGATTTTTCAATAGGGATATGTTTATGCATTCTTCTGCTATGGCCACCACTAGCGGTTCTGGATAACTACTTGCTTGTAGTCGTCTTATCTGTATTTGTAGGCCCTCCGACACTCTGTAGAAAC